ATATAACATGTTTATATATATATATATATATATATATATATAATATATATATATATATATATATATATATATATATATATATATATATAAACTTGTTACATATATAATTTATATATATATATATATATATATATATATATATATATAGCTGCCGATATAATATAAAACAAATAACATGGCTCTTTCCAGTGGCTCTACTGCCATCTGCAGAAATCTCCCACTTGTTCGGAAACATCCACTGAGAGCCTGCGGGGGAAAGCCTCTCTCGGCCAAACACAACTTGAGATAATTTGGTTAATAAGGAGAGAAGTACGTGGTCCAATAAACTCTGGTGATTTTGACAGCAGCAAGTGGATCATACAGCCGTTTTTGCGGTGATTGGCACCGCTGTTAAAGATGTCCAAAAAAATCCTCATAGTAAGTAAGTAGTTGCTATGGCGACCTTGGTGACCTCAAGAAGGACGTTCTGCAGCTCTGACACTGCAGGATGTTCGGGGTGGAAAGGTGATCTTTATAGGGGTGGCCGGAGCAGGCCAGTATAAAGAGTACACACTAAGAAAATAAACGTGCTAATATGAAAATATCCATGCTAATATTTTCATAAATTTGACCCCAGAAAGGATGAGGAGCAGATTCTCATGAGAGGGAGCTGTAGTTACAAATTTAGAAACTGTTTTTCAGAAACAGCACATTTCTCATGCTGACCAAGTCAGCATATAGATGAGTAAAATCTAATCTCTCCTTTTAATATGTTTTAAATTCTGTTTCATGAGTTGTTGAACAAAATGTCTCCTTTACAGTAAAAAAGGTTTGAAATTCGTCTCATTTTCACCCACACGTCGGGAGAGCGCCAGCAACGCACCTTATGCGTTACTAAAAACAGAACATGGCTCTGTTTTTCATCACTCTGATCTCCTCTGTACATGTACGGCTCCGGAGGATCGGCGGCGGCGGCAGAAAGGTGGATGACGTGAGAGCCTGAGCGTGATGGAATGCCCTGTGTGCTTGAATGTGAAGTTGCATTCCTGTGACAGAGAAACGAGCAGCTCCAACCCGATTCGAATGTTGCGCCGTGTCTTTTCATGCATTAGCTGGTGAACGGTTGTGAAACTCATCAACCTTTTGTGCTGCACAAAAGGTTGAGAACCGAAAGGGAGGAAGCCGATAAATTCAGCACTAATGTGGACACTAAACGTAGCATTTCCTCTGCGTTTGCTTTTTTGCTGTGTGTCATGTTGGCCGTCCAACATTTCAATTCAGTCTTTCATTTTTGTGAGGAGTAATTACGTGACCTCTGCTACTTCTTCTTCGTCCTCCCTCGGCTTTGGCTGCGTGTTATGGTGCACGACTTAAGTATAAAGTCCAAAATTACTTCTTTTATAATAAGAATAAGTGTCCGGGTTAGATTGCTTTTTTTTAAAAAAAAAAATTAATAAATTATGATTATTTTCTTATTTTTAAGGGTGCAAAATGTGTTTCGAGTAGCATCGGTGCATGTCCTCATTCACACCACTACTTGTTGTCCGATGTTTGATTGAGCTTTGCACTTCTTTTCCACGACCGCAAGAATTTGACGCGCACGTCCGGTTGCAGGGGGATAAATTAAACCGGAAAAATGAAGCAAAGCCGCCAGAGAAGCAGCCACAAAAGAAGAAGCAGAAGAAGAAAACAGTGCTTGCCGATGCAAACATAACAGATATTAAAAGATTAAAAGAAAAATGGGGTGAGCAGATGTTTTGTGAGGTTGGAAACACATGAAACATGTTTTTTTTCTTAAGGCTGGAGGATGCATATAATGCATTTTGGTATGCGTGGATGAATGCAAACAGAAGCCTGTTTGCTTGCAAGCCTCCGCCCGACACCTTTAATCAAAGCACGCCGATGCATTATTAAAAGCCCCGAAGCCTCCCCGTGAACACAACCGGCTTCCACTAATAAAGGCGGCTTCCCCGCACCTTGGCTTGCGTCAGGCGCCGCGCTCCAGCTAAAGGGGGTCACTGATGTTTGCGGCTTGCGTAAGCCTCAGCCCGGGCTCTCGCGTTCCTGCACCGGCTCCCACTCACTTCAGTGGGTGACATCCCCGCAGGGAAAGCTCTGCTTCCTCGGGGAGGCGAGGAGCATGTCATCCGCACAAACCGCTGGCCGAGGCTCAAAGGAAGCCCTGTTTTTTTTTTTGTTTGTTTGTTTTTCTCTCGCTCTCTCTTTTTCTTTTTTGTAGCGTGTGTCATGCTGAAATAATCAAGGAGGCTGCTGCGGTGTCAGGAAAGGTTGTGTGCAATAAACAGCGTCCCGTTACGCGAGCCGTGTGTGTGCGTGCGTGCATGTGTGTGTGTGTGGGTGTGTGTGTGTGTGTGTGTGTGTGTGTGCGTGCATGTGTGTGTGTGGGTGTGTGTGTGTGTGTGTGTGTGTGTGTGTGTGTGTGTGTGTCGTTTCACAGCTCCGCTCGCAGACGCTGCAGCTAATGCTTTCTTGGAATGGAGGCAGCTGAAAGGCCTTTAGTGTTTTTATGTTTGTTTACTAAAAAAAGAGAGAGAGACCGAGAATGGTACCTCAGGACAGAGAGCTGATTTGGGGGCTGAAAGCAGGAATATTCTTTCCACTTGAGTTTTTTTCCACACTTTGCTATAAGAAAACCACAGACTTTCATGAATTTCAATGGGACTTTACGTGTCAGATCAACAGAATTAGCACAAAACTGTAAGGTGGAAGAGAAATTATCCGTTATGTTCTTTCTTTGTTTCGTTTTACAAAGGAACTTTTACAATACTTCACAGAATCAATTATAGCTTGAAGTCTTTTCTACACGTTTTGTAGATTTAAAATGTCAGGTTTATGTGTTTTCCAGGCACATAGAGTCACTTTATAGCACAATCCAGTGAGCATATTACTTTCAGTTGTTTTGAAAATGCTACATACATAAAACGTGACTTCATATTTCAATGCCTTGGATTTGGGCCTCTGCCTCTTTAAGAAACTCCGCCCAGGAAATCATCAAAACGTGGCACCTCTATTAACACTTTAGTGGCGTTTTTACCAGCATTTCACTGAGAAGTGTCTTGGTCAATGAGCTCTGAGGATGCACAGATCCACCAGGTGTTTGCTAATTTCTGCTGGCTAGTCTGAAGGAGCTGAGGCGGAAGTTACGTCTTGAAGGCGTAACTTCAGATTCCACACCTCCTATCCTCTGAGAAACGACCTCTGCAAGACACTGTCATAAAGATGACATCAAACCCACCATGAAAATGACGGCGTCTTCATCATGAATGTTTATGAAGTGTCATTTGGTAAATAATGACACTTTTAATGTAACTTTTAGTGCAACATTCCCTACAGAAGTTACCTACTGCAGCTTTCATAAGCAAAAATGAAAAGAACATCAGTTATGTTTAGTCATGTTTCAAAGTAACACAAGCATTTCTTGTAATTTTCTCCAAATGTGAGGAATCGGCTTAAAAGGTCGAAGTTCTACGGTTCTTTTCAAAGAGCTGCGTTTGGATTGAGCATCCAGGCTAGTCGACAGTGAGAGGGAAAAAAAAAAAAAGACTCTCCGTGTTTTTCTTCTTCACATTCCAATTACTCGGGGCTGCATTTCCAAAGAACTGTATGTACAGCTGAGAGGAACGCCTAATTGAGCTTCGTGGACTCCAGTCGAGAAGTCGCAGGCAAATTCTAATTGCACACTCACTTCTCCAGCCATGGGAGAAGCGAATGAGGGATCATTTGCAAGCCAAACGCCTGAGCGACAGGTAAAATTGAATCTTCAGGCACCGACGGCGACGGCAATTATTAGTATTTTTTTTTAATATCCAGGCAGAAAATCCTCTCGTTGTAGTGCACACGATTGTTCATTACCAGAAATTTTTATTTTTTTTAAATTAGAGAGAAAACGTGAAAAAGACGAGTCTCGGATCGCGTGATGGCCCGACGCCGTCGAATTGTCCTTCGTCTTTCGATGGGGAAGACTGAGAGCGGATCCAAAGTGGCCCGCCTCTTTTTAATCGGGTTTGAGTTTAATTAGCGAAGGCTGCGGGCCGGTGGGAGAAAGCCGTCAGAAAGTCTGGCTTGTGAAGCACCAGGAAGAAGTTGGTAAACACGATTTGTCTTCAACAGTAAAAGGTTGACCTGGTGTGATCACAATTAGAAGAGAGTCCTAGAAATCTGCAGGGGGAATAGAAGCGATGCTTCCACTGCGTTTTGACGCTTCGAAAATAAATTTGCCTCACGTTAACGCGCAATTTCGAAAATGTTTTCTGCTAAAAGGTTTCGGAGCTGGAATGAGGTGGGGTTCTTTTATTTTAGTACAATCGAAACTAGTTCATTTCGCAAACCTGTAATGTTTTTCCGCATCACACAAGTCACATCATCAAGAAAACGACAGGAAGTGGTTGGAGGACGATGATGATTTGAATCGCTTTTCTCATATAAAGAAAACGCAGCACATATGAAATTGTGTTGTTTTTTTCGACGACAGCAGAATGTGCACAAAGTTGTTTTGCACATTTGCAATGAAACGCAGCAATTGAGAGCGATACAGAGAGGAGCGACTGGTGTGAGGCCTCTAAACCAACGTCTGTCAACGTGTAGCGCGCGCACGTATGTGTGTGTGTGTGTGTATTGATAAGATTTACTTCTTCTTTTAAAAACGAGCCAAATAAATCAACAGGCTGCTCGACTGGGAGTGTCTGAGTGCTGGGTCGGCAGAAAGAAGCAGCATATGATTTTCCAGCCCCACAGACATCTAAGTTTGTGTGTGTGTGTGTGTGTGTGTGTGTGTGTGTGTGTGTGTGTGTGTGTGTGTGTGTGTGTGTGTGTGTGTGTGTGTGTGTGTGTGTGGGGGTGTGTGTGTGTGTGTGTGTGTGGGTGTGTGTGTGTGAGGAGATGATGAGGGAAAAAAAAACAGGGCGTCCCTCTTGCGGTCCCACCCCAGCCCTGCCCCCTTTCACATAGAGAAGTATCCTGTAGCAGATCAACCCCCCGAAAAAAACTGGAAACTCATTCAGTCTCTTCTGAATGGAGCGTCTTTAACGTGAAGAGTGTAGGACTTATAACGTAGAGCAACCCCGACAACACAAAAATAAAGAATACCATGCGAGCCCTGAGTCCGGTCCTGGTTGGTGCCTTGGTGACCCTGCTGCTCTGCCTGCCTGGCCCCGCGCACGGAGGTAAGCGCCACAGCAGATCGGCGTTCGCATCCCGCGGCCGCCTGTCCGGTTCAGAGACGGTGTGCGAGGCGGGACGTCAGATCCCCCCCTGTACGTCAAAGGCATGACAGTCAGGGGGAGCTGATGCCTCAGACTTCAACTGAACTGACTTCAACTTTAATGCTGCTTTCTTTTTTTCTTTTTATGTAAAAGGTGTACCTTGTGAAATTCTCTACAACCTCAGTGCCCGCATCATTCATTGTGCTGAAACTTCACGCGTTGCTTGGACTCTTGTCCAAAGTCTGAGACAACATCTGTTCCCTTCTAATCCTCTTTAAGTTTTCTCTCCTTCTTCTCGCCTCTCTTCGCCTGCAGCCGGCTTGCATTTTTCTTGAAAGTGTTTTGCACGTCGCCAAAAGGAAAGAGGCGGCGCAGCCGGAGCCCTGTGAGCTTATAGGTGCCCCGTGTCAGAGGCAATGAATGGCTCTTTCAAAGAGAAGCGCGCGGTGGCAGAGCAGAGCCGCTCCGCATTCACCCGGAGAGAAGAGATGAAAGTGAGAGAGGGAAAGCAGGGCTGTGTGAGGACAGCAGCGTGTGTGTATGTGTGTGTTTGTGTGTGTGTGTGTGTGTGTGTGAGGGAGGTGGGCTGCTTCATGGAAGAGGCCCATACGATGTCCTCACAGAGAAGGTGTGAAGTGCCACAGGTACACTTTCTCGATGACACGACAACGCCAGAGGGCAGTGGGGTTCAAAAGTAGCAAGTCGGTTCACCGACGCACAACATCAGCAGGAAAACGCGTTATAAACCGTCTTTGGTTCGGACAGCTGTTGAGTCCGTTGCTTCCCCCTCCTCGCCTCCGAAGTGTCAGTGCGCTTCCCGCCAAACCTCTCCAGGAGAGGCTCATTGGCTGCTGATGAGGGCAGGATGGGGAGGGGGGCAGAAGTGACTTTGATCAGAACACGGGAAAACCGCTCTGTTTCGGGTTAGGGTTAGTCAATCAAAGCTCAGGTGGGAAGTTGGGCTCGGTTTTCTCCGCAGTGTGATCAGTTTCATCTCTGGCGTGGGAAAAAAAAAAAAAAAAAGAGTGATTTTCCCCTCATGTTTGCTCATTTGCAGATGAGTCCTGCTGAACGAAGTGATGGCGGTGACACCTCTGCTGGAGGAGTTGGCGGCGTGTTGACCCAACGGTGGCTTGTCGAGTTATGTCTGCTGGCAATTGGCGAGGCGCAGTTTAAGCGTGGCGCCAACGTTGCTGTAGCTGTGCTGTCTGGGCAGATGATGGAGATGATGCAATCTGTTCAAAAACCTGTGTTTTCCAAATTTTCTCCACAAACTATCGTATTGAATTTGGACACTGTCTGCAGAACCATTGCAAAGGTTCTGCAGATACTGAACTTTACCATATGGAGGCTATTTATATCCCTGTAGGATTTCATATTTAATTTGTGTTCAATTTAAAACTCATATAAAGTAGGATAATGTGAAAAATTTCGTTATTAGCTCTCTTTTCAAAAATTAAAGCAAAAATCTTAAGAGTATTTGAGTGTCAAAACCGGATTTAATTTGCTGGGTTTCCACTGACGATATTCTTGCGAAACTTGACATTTTGAAAAATAAATTTGCAAATTCAAAGAAACCTTATCAAAGTTTTGGCACTTTGATAAGGTGATGTTTTTTTTTTTGCCCATATCAAAATTGGTCTACTTTACAAAACTGCGATGAAAATACTTTTTTCCACACCGTACTAGTTACATAATAAACAACTGGCTATTGCCACTGCCGAAAACCACGAAGAAGACGACGACAGGAAGCAGTTGGAAGATGGTGGCATGGCACGTTTTCTAACGACTTATTGCACAAACAAACTTACTCACGTGTAATTTTAACAGCGCTTTATTTAAGGAAACATCGCCACTGTGAAATGTAACTCATAAAGGTTTTAAGTGAAATAATCTGCTAATGGAACTGGTCGTTTTTCTTCAATATTAAGGATTTATTACTTTTTTTAAACTTATAAACAAGCTCTGAAAAGTTACTTTATAAGTCAGTTTTGTCTAATTTCAAGCCTACTGAGACATTTGCACTAGAAACAAAAATACTTGGTGAGATTTTCTGTTTTTACAGCCTCCCTGCCTCCTCAGTGTGACAAAGCTCACCCACTGACCTCAGAGAGCTAAATGCTAATGTTGACCAGATGTGTCAAGTTGACGGTTAGATTCTGGGGGCTCCACAAAATCCCGACCACAAGCTCCAGATGAGCTTTTATACAACAACAAAAAAAAGTCAATAAGAACGTCATCACTTTCTTGTTCTGAAGTTGTTGTTTTGTTTTTTTTGTCTCCCTTCCCGTTTATTAAGAGCTCTGTTTGTACCAGTCTGGTCCAGGAACATCTTGCACAGGAGCAAAAGTTGTTTAGACGAAGCAGTGACCGTCGTTCGTCATGAAAAGTGCTCATGAGTGGAGAAGTTAAAGTTTCTTTCTGGTGGTAAAATCTTGACTCTGGGTTTCAACTCAGGTGTCATAGCTGCGCTGCAATGTTGGCGTCAGAACAGATTTCACAACTTGACCTTTTTTAAAATGCACCTCCCAAACTACAGGTTACTTCTAGCTCATCGTATGGATAAGTCATAAGCTTCATCCTCAAATAACGATTGTTTTGTGATCAAGGTATAAAATAGGTCAACTCAATAAACCTTCTCTTCATTTGCTGCAATGTATGTCTTATTGGTAAAGTTTTGCTTGCAAAGGAGAATATTTTCTTTCATGTGAGTGTTGTGACAAAAATATCAACGGATAGAAAAATACGAAACATAGCCATGGCTACGATTCATAAAAAAGACATTTTAGCAAGGCTGTTACCAAAACACTTCAAAACGGATCCACGCTTTGGGATATTTACTCTTAACAGGGTGGGGTGTTTCCTTGGTAGCAAGCTTGCTTGACTTTAGCATCAGTGTTGTCGGTAAAACAGCTGACAACAAGATTGCATCCGGTTTTGAAGCAAACCAGTCTTACGACTGGCTCCAAAATATTAAAAATGATGATATATTTCTTATAAACAGAACTTGTGCAAACACATCAACCCTACTGTTCTCTGCTGGACACACAATACCAGCAGAAGTAGCTAATAGTTTAGCAAAACTCCAATCAAAAAGTTCGGCGTGGATTTGTTACCAAAATAAAAGAAGCCAACGTCCTGCGAGTTTAACCATTAATCGACTAATGGTCACATTTGCAAACAGAAACGCTCTTTGGAAATGGATATAATTTAAACGGCCCTCCAAAATGACTTTCTACGATGCAGCCTCGCCGAGAAGCGCCTGGCTGATTCCACCATTATACCTGTAAGAAATGGCATTGCTGCGTTAATGGATGCCAACTTTTTGAGACGCTGATATGACGCCGCTGTGAAATGTAAAAGTGACATTTTTATGGCTCGGGAGGAGACAGGCTGTGCCGCGCTGCGTGGATCAGCCATGTGAGAGCACTTTTCCACATCAGGGGATGCTCACTTTATCATAGAACCATCTGAAATTGGACATGACATGTTCCTGTTTCAACTTTTTCCGTCAAAACATCTCAACAGCCTCCGCGTCTCCTCGGCAACCGTTTAGGTTCGTCCATTCGGCTGAATAAGAGAGAGAGAGAGAGAGAGAGAGAAACAGTACTAATAACTGGCCGGCCGAATATTTCCGATCCAAACACGCCTGTTTGGTTGGTATGGTGACAGTTTCTCTTTTTGTCGCTGTGTTAGTAAAAACAGGAAGTCTGATGGCGTTAGTGACATTTTGGAGCTGCAGCTCTTTTCTTCAGCCAGTGAACACATCTTGACTTTTCTCTCGCCCCGTTAGCAAACCCTCCACAGAGTCCTAAAATTTGCTGTGTTGGAAATCCATTTGGTGTGTTTGGGTTTCTCCTCAGAAACAACCACAAAGAGACAGACGAGCAAAATATGAGTACGATCGTTGCGTGAAGGCGAAGGTCCGCTTTCTCCGTTGCTGGACATCGACGGGGAATTTGAAGCGCAATTTGCCAACAGCAACTTAAAATCTCCAAACCAAGTCCAAGAGAACTTTCCTTGCTAATGTGAACGGTCTGCAACAGGTTTAGCTGAGACAGGTGTAGCTCCAGATGTCGACACTGAAAAGGTTTGGACCTGTCGTAATGAGTCCAACGAGAGGAGTTTTTTTTTTTCTTCTTTCTGTCTGCGCAGCATCTGCTCGTGAGTGAACGAAGAACATGTTCCCCCTTCAACTCTGTGAGGCTCATAGGAAGGAATGCATGAAACATTAACAAGCGACGATTCAAAATGAGCCAGGTTTTTCTTCCCAAAACGTTGGTTTCTATATGAACTCTGGAGGCTCCTGTGCTTCAGCGTTTCCTTAAAGCGCCGATCATTTTCTCCCGAAGACATGCTGCTCGCTTGTCCTTTGGACTTTATGAAAGCAAGACCCCCTTCTAGCATCGCTCAAGCGATCAATATTGATATTACCTCTCCTAATGTAACTCCCTCACTGCTCGCCTGACAATTATGGCTGCCACTTTCAGGCACAAAGTTTCAGGCAGTCATGGGTTATTAACTATTTTTTTGGGCATTCTGGCCCGAGGCAAACATCCTTGAAGCCGAGGAGCTAAAGTTGTCTGTGTGAGCAGCCGGCCTCACCCTGCTTTTTTTTTCTTCTTTCTGACTTCATCTCTTCCCTGCAGGATGATTTCCCTCCCCAACCTGCGGCCACAGAGTATGCAGCCCTGTAATTGCCATGCCCGGCCCAGAGTAGATTTACTCAACAAAGCTTGATTCCTGCAGCGCCAGCGCTCTCACTTCTGTCGAGGAGACCTGACATACGCCACATGCTAACTCCTCCGCCTGTCGTCCAAGTGAGCCGCTTCGGTCGGATAACAGTTTCGGCTGCAGGAAAGAAATGCGAAAGAGTGCTCGAAACGAGAGGGCACCTCATGTATTCGATCTTTCATTTCTTTCAGTTGCAACCGCAACTGCTCCGTCCTGTTATATTTGGG